AACGACAGAACTGCATGTAAAACAATTGGACTCAGAAATTCGCAATTTAGTCAGTCTAAAAACAATACCCACTTCAGGTATCAGTGGAATGAAAGTAATCACAAAACAAATGGTGATGGCTATATTGAACATTCTAGAAATATAAAAGCATACAATATGGCACATAGCATTGGGAAGCCGGTGAAATGTAGGACCTGATAGTTGAGTCTGACTCAGAAATTCACAATCCAGTCACTGTAAAAACAGTGCTCACTTCGGGTAACAGACTGGTGAAATTAAAAAGAAAACAAACAACTAATGCACACCATAGAGGACATAGCACCAGCAAACTGTAGCAATGTAGGACTTAACTGTTGAGTCTTGAAAAAATATAACCAAAACAAGCCATAGGAACCACAAGAAGTGGAGGGAAAATTTCGAGGACAACAGCAAGCTTATACGTACAGCTGCAAGTTCAAAAGGAACACAAAGCTCTAACGGAAAAGAAATGGCCAACTCCAGACACACTATCTTTAATATCATTTGCAGAGAGATTGACATACCTGCTGATTTGAATGTGCTTCAAATCGCGGTGCCTTGGACCTTAGCTTCTCTGCCTGGTCATATAGGTTGTAATGGAGATAATTTCGGAGTAACAGGTTGAGAAGTGTTTCCTGCATAACATTATCATACAGCTTTGAGCTTTGACATCCAAAGACAAAACAACCTTGAATACAGTTTGGACACTCACCTGACCCAACTCATCATGACGCAATGTGGCAATGCGATGCAAGGCAAGGAGATTGCTGAAAAACAGAGTGCAAAGAGATTAAAGCAGATACGATTCAGCTACCAATTTCCTTGGGTGTCCTCTCATGCCATATGTTTAAACGTAAACAAGCATCTGCCTAAGAAATACATAGACAATGCACATGAACACATATATAGAGAGAGGGAGGAGACAGGGAAAGATAGCAGTAAAAGGTTGCAATAAAAAAGAGACATATTGGGTTAATTAATAGCTTACCCTCGAATTTCAGCAAGATTTCCAGTAAGCTCATAGCTATATGAGTAATAGAAGTACAATCTGGATGCTAGAACATCAACGGTTCTTCTATTGAAATTCTTAAGTCGAGCAATACTAGCTGAGGAACAGGCTTTAGCCTAAAAAAAAGGACCGAGGAAAAAGAAAAGAAAATTTACAAAACTGGGACCAAAAAAAAAACAAAGCAAAGCAGAGTGATGGACTCAACCTCATCGTATCTTTTCTGATCAATCAGAAAAAGTATAACAAGCAAGTAACAGTAGATCTCAAGCTCAGGCAATATGTGCTTTGCCGGAGCTTGAACAGCAGAAGTTGCGGCATCATCATTATCAACTTCCATGCCATGCCTATCGTCCTACACAAATAGATGTGAATGTGAAGGTGTATGCGATGTAACAAAACAATTTTCACAAATTCAAACAAGAGAAGTGATTGAAATTAAAGTAAAAGGCAATATTATTTGATTATTCATTTATACACCTTAGGAATGTAGGCAGACAATCGTGCGTGAGCTTCGGAACCAGGAAGAAGAGCGTAATCGAGAAATGCAGAGAGCAAGGGGGCCGTGAGCTTGCGCCTCAGCTGAATCGTAAGGCGAACAGCACGAGCTATTCTGCGAACCTCTTTGGTGTAGGAAGCGGCCTCAATAAACGATGCCCCCTCCTTCAAATCTTTGGTGTAAAGCCAGACGCAAATTCACAAATTCACAAATTCACATAGAAATGTAAATAAATAAATAAACAAGTAGATAAATGAGCAATCGAAACCCTAAAATTTGGAACAAAATCTAAGATTGAGATTCAGACTCAGAGTTTGGTGCTCACGCTGCAAAATGGATGCTGAATTGGAAGGTAAAGGGGCTTGAGGAAGAGCTTCCTCATCTTTCATCTCCACGTCCTGAGTCATCTTCTTTCCTCACTAACATCTACCAACCAGAATTCGCTGCTTCTGCGTCTGCTGCTTTTCTTTGTCGCACTCACTCTTTTCTATTAAGTTTTCTTTCTCTTCAAGTCATATTTCAGTCTTCACTTGAGAGGAACCAAAATTAAATATCACTAAATAAAAGAACCCCAAAAAGAAAAACAGCGGAGCAGCTTGCACCTATTTTTAATGCATACTCGCTATCTGGGCTTCTCGATGGACGTTGCCTCATCGTAAAGCAAAACATGGTCTTACAGCAAACGTTGAAGCCCAGAACAACCCAGCTAACCCTGGGCCAAGCTGCAAGATCCCATTTGGGTGCTTTTGATTGTGATGGCAAAACCCAAAATTTTCAATTCAACCAACCATTCCAAGACCTTCCAATAACATTACAATTATAATTATAAGGCTTTTTATCCCAAATGGTCCTTGACGTTTACGAAATTATCACGAATGGTCCTTGAGGTTTTTTTGTGACACTAATAGTCCTTAACGTTTGGACTTTTTATCACAAATGGTCCCTGCTGTTAGAAATTCTGTTAAGTGCATAATGTGGAAGATAAGTGGAGCTCACATGTCCCATCACATCGTGACATGTGGATTAAATAAATAAAAAAATATTTTTTAATAATAAAAATCCATGTTTTTGTGCAACTTCCCATCCCCTCTCTATACTCAATCTCTCTCTCCTGATGTCCTCTCTCTCCTCCCTCTAGCCTCTCTCTCTTTCCCTCTGCCCTCGCCCTCTATTCTCTCTCCCCTTCGCTCTCCCTCTCCCTTAAACATCCTTTGTTACTAGAACTATTCCTATCTTTTAGAACCTCCCAAACATCCTCTTCCTCACAGTCTCCATCTCTCAAGGCCCTCCAAACTCCACTGCCCTGCCTTATTAGACCATACCTATTCTCCATTGGTGATTGCCTACATGTCCAAAGATGACAAAAACATTTCATAGAGGTAAGAATTTTTTATGTGGATCATCTCCAGTCCAAAGAAACTGTTATACCAAAAATGAATACAAGTTGGAGAGAGAGAGAGAGAGAGAGAGAGAGAGAGAGAGAGAGTGGCTAAATGGTTTTTTAATGGATTTTCATCCAAAAAAAAATATTTTTTTATTTATTTAATCCACATGTCACGATGTGATGGGACATGTGAGCTCCACTTATCTTCCACATTATGCACTTAACAGAATTTCTAACAGCAGGGACCATTTGTGATAAAAAGTCCAAACGTTAAGGACTATTAGTGTCACAAAAAAACCGCAAGGACCATTCGTGATAATTTCGTAAACGTCAAGGACCATTTGTGATAAAAAGCCTAATTATAATTATATTGTATTTACTTGCAAAATGAAATTTTGAAAGTGTTTTTTTTCTCTTTCCAATTAGCGATAATTGTATTCAATTATTGGGCACAAATACCAAATATCCATAAAGGGTTAATACAAAGATGGATGCACAGTAACCTCAAAGGGTTAATCAAGATATAAGATACATCAACGACATTGCACAACTTGTATATCCACTAATAGCTCTAAAAGACCAAATATATTTCAACGTAACAGTCATACATCTGAGCAAATCAAATATGAAATACAGAGCCCCAAATTGCAAGACTTGGTTGGTGAGAAAAGACTTGGTTGAGAAATGATCCAGTTATAGCTAAGTTTTTTTCAGTCACTTATCTTAATGTATATCATTGTCATATCTTACTAAGTCCTAATTACTAATTAGTACTTTATTTATGGGTAAAAATTAATTGTAAAGTCAGGCACAAACACCATAGCGTAACCCGTCTTTTGTTAAAAATGCGGGGGACAATAAGGCCACCTCCAGCACAAGCACCCAACCTAGGCAAATAGCAGCCCCAAGCCCCAAACCCTCCTCCATTGCGCAAGGTCCAGCCCGAGCAAGCGGTAGGACCTACCAGCCCTGGCAAGCCCATGGGCAAAAATTGATTGGGATGTTACCCAAAGACTGTTTACATTAGTGTGACGTCGGCGGCTGTTTACCAATATTATTCACTTTCGACACTAAATCTTCATACAAATTCATCTCCTTCTAATATTTTTCACTTTCTACACCAAATTTTCTACTACAAAATTCCATTTGTGCAAAAAATACAAATGGTCTCTTCCATCGAAGCCAGAGGGTCGTGGACAAATGTTCAAAAAGATCAAAATCTTGGCAACGAGGTAAAAAAAAACAAAAAAAATAGTTGTTTTATTCAATTTAATGTCTTTTTTTTCAATAAAATATTTCTTGCATTTCCAATTTCATTTTTTTAATAGATTATTCAAGGCAAAACAAAAAAGAGGAAAACCATTACACATGGCTCTTCAAGTGAACAATGCTCGTGATGTTCCAATGATGCGTTCCGTGTCGGAAATAATGACACTAGTACGTCCTCCGAAAGAAAATACTCCCCCACGTCGTGATCCGGTGGAACCCTATGCCAATGATTGAGTCATCCTTATACTTGATTTTGTCGGACTATGAGGATCGGAAGTATTTCAATTGTATAATGAGTTGAGTAGGTATTTCAATTGTATGATGAGTGAGATGTGAATTTTATAATAAATATGAACACACGGCAACCGAAAATCTTATCCAGAAATTTAATTCGAAAATTTTATCTAAAAATATTATCTGAAATTTTTGGTGAGAATGTTATAATAAATAGTAACACGTGGCAACCGAAAATCTTATTTGAAAAACTTATCAAAATTAATGGTTTAAGTATAAAAATGAAAAATAAATTAAAATGAATAGTAATCACCCTTGTCCTTGCCTTTTATAATGGAACCAAAAAGGACAAAGCTGCATTATTCACGTGAATAGTGACAAACCTTGCATTGCCCTTTGGGGTGGAGGTGCCCTAAGCGTAGTGGGGGAAACTAGAAAGAGAAGTAAAAGGTACGTAAACAGACCAGGGAGTTTGGGAAAGATAGCTAGGCACGCAATTAAATGGACCACACGCCGTAAACTATATTGTTCTCGCAAAGCCAAAAAGGAAGGAAACAAAAAAACAAAAAAAAAACTTCGACACAAAATAATTTCCCAACAAAAATAAAAGAATACGCTGATGAATCCAGATGGAAAATTACAACCGTTCAAACATCTCACCTAAACTACATGACAAAACGGGGGGATTACCTCATAGGACTCTAAACTAAATCTACAGTGATCATGCCTTACAGTTAATATTAGTAGTTTGCCATACCGCAGAGATAAATAAACATGGAAAGAAAGGATAGATAGTAAACATAGATTGACAAGGCACAACAATGGCCATTTGCATGATGTTCAGTGACACCCATATTGCACCTCAAGCAGCTGCCTGGATCGGCCCATTAGACCTATAGCCACGGCCCCTTCCACGATATCCCCCCCTTCCACGGGCACGTCCTGCACAGCAATTCCCATCACATATTGAAATCAGAAGGAATTCATAGACATATCCAATTGGCTAAATACAGCTGCCAATGATAGTCTATCAAGAAGAAGATTCCATGTGTATGCACACAGTACCACTCTCTTATGCTTAGATACAAGGAAAATTCATGAGACATACCATGGCCACCTTGAGCAGGTGCTTCTTCATTGTACTCTCCATCTTGTTGTCCATCAAACTGGGGCCCGTTGTACCCTCCCCTTCCACGGCCTCGGAAACCACGTCCTCTCCCACGGCCCCTACCCCTGAAGTTACCGCGACTGCGGTCGTAACCTCCATCATCAAATTCAGCTGACACAAAGCCATTTCCTGCAATTACGGACATATTAATTACCGTATCAAACCAAATTTATCACAAAAGTCCTGTTTTATAGCCAAAACCAACTCCCATTCAGGCTATCATACTGTCCCCCTATCATGCCACCTTAAAACATCACAATGTTCTAATCAAACCACATTTCCTCCATCATCTATAGAAACTAATGCAACAATCCCACACCACTTTTAAGGGCTACAGGGCATAAGTTGGCAAAGAAACATTATACAGCCAGTAGAATCTAAACCAGAAAATATTTAGCAAAAGGTAACTGAAGAGTAGAAAACATTAACAAATCACATCAGTGACTACCTCTAAACCTTCCCCTTCCTCTGCCACGTCCACGTCCACGGCCACGACCATTTGGTGAGCCCCCTGAAGATAACAGAAAGGTTTTACAAATGTAAAATAACAACATGAAGAAAATAAAATTAATAAGCAAACGAATGAACATGGCTCATAAATTGGCACTACCTCCTTCATAATCAATCTCTGTCGATGCCTTCACGAGCTCAGCAGGTAAAGGTGACTGGTACCTGATGGTAGCAGTACTTCCAAATGTTAACATATCTCTTAAGAAAATGGCAATGACCAATAAGAAAATATAAAATATAAAAATAAATTTTTATGTAAAAGCCTACGTAATTTCAGACCGCATCAACATATAACAACAATTCAGAGAGTACTTCAACTTTATAGTTCTTGCAAACAGCTAAAAGTATAGGCAAAACAAAGTTAATCATCCATACTCAAACCATGAAACAAATCTTAACGTGAGAAACAAGCAGTCCTCAATACCAAGAACCATTGTAAATTGGGTAGACTTACAAGAGATCCTACACAATTTCAAGTGATAGAGTTCCATAAAGCCAACTATGGTCAGCAGGAGATATTTTACTTAAGATAGCACAGCTCCAGTCCAACCTTAGGTTCTATTCCTAACAAGAAAGAGGTAACTAGTATAAACTCACCCGATAGAAGATGTATTTATTTCCTTCTTGGACAGTGTTACCACAATCATCGACACATGCCTTGTTGACTCCAAGCTGTGGCAAAAAAAAGGGACAAAATGAGGCATAAAAGCACACATAAGGGACAAGGCCCAAAACTACTACCCCTCATGAGATACTGCAAATGAATCGGTGTTGTTCAAAACAAGTTTTAAATACTCTTACGTGTTGAGGCCTTCCTCAAGGGGTTCATATATATCAGTTATGTCGGTAGATCCAATTGTAGTGTTCTGATGAAGACCAACAATTCTTCTCTGAAAACAAGTAACATTAATATCTCATCAGTATAATCTACAAATTGAAACGTCTGATAACCAGTAAATGATACAAAATGAGACATGTAACCTTAATTAACTCCACGATTGTTACAGTCTTGTTGATAGCTCTCCCCATAGCCTTGAATACAATTTCGTCCGATCCTTTTTCCTGCAAGGCGTGGCATAGGAGGATAAGGAAAAAGCTAAGATATCATATCAAATAACAGAGGTCTAACATAACATAAGCCACTAAGCATTCTCAACTTGCATAAACAGTATATAATACAATAATTTGTTGCATATCCCACAAGGTAGAAAATTAACAACAGAATTTAATTTCGCTGCCCCAGAATCCCCAACAAATCATCATTCTTCTTCTTTAATCCAATTTGATGTGTGATAACAATTTCATACATCTCAAAGCTCGCATATAATGTGAAAATCAAAGCAAAAATGAAAAATAGAAGGCAATAGTAAGGGGAGACAGACCTGAAGCAGGGTCATGGCGTAAGTAATGTAGTTGCGCATCCTTCCCTGGCTGGTAATCCTAATCTCGTTCTCATCAATTGGCGTCTCCACTCTTGGCTTCTCCACTCTCTGGTACCGATCCATCTTTTTTCCGCGCTGCAGCTTTTAAAAACAGCAAAATTATTTTAGTCAAAAACAAAAAATAGAGACGGAAAGCAGGCATACATACATCATGCAATATAAAATCCACGGAAAACAAAAACGAAAGGAAGAAGAACGAACTGCAAACTCACTGCTGAACCGATTTCCAAAGAGAAAAACACAACACGAGAAAGAAGAAAACAAATATTGAAAAAAGCTCGAGAAAACGGAGGGAAAATAATTACAGAAAAGGAAACAAAAAGCAGGCGGTGAAGCAAAAATCGAGAGAAGAGACGACGAGGGAAAGAGAGGGAGGGGGGATAGAGGTATGGTTGGATCTGAATGATTCAGGGATACATACATACCGTGGGTGGGTGTTCAAAAAAGGATAAGTAGCGCTCCACACAAAAAAAGAGCCCTCTTCTACGGCTTCGTATTTTCTTTTACGCCCTAATTCGCACACTGGGATTGTCTCTTGATATATATACCACCGCAACCCGCAATCCTCCAAAACTACCCTAACCACCCTGTTGACTCTTGTTTATCCCCCGCCTATGTCTCCAAACAGTTACTTACTCCCTTGGCTCGCTCGCTCTTTCGCCAAACTGCCTTCTTTCCTTTCTTCCTGTTTTAGAGCCGGCCCAACTACGGACTAATATTCACATAGGCCTGGGCCTCACACAGCCCATCCTCAGGGTTGGGTAGAGCCTGGTCCACACGGTGCTGGTATTTCTTTTTGTTACCAAAATATTAATAATAACTTTTAATACATTTCAATAATTTAAAACAACTAATTGTTAACAGTACATAAGTTACAAAGTTTTACTGTGTCTATTACATTAAAGGGTATACTAGTGATTTAACCCATAAATTTGTACCTAACTTTTGATTTACACCTTATCCTTTTCTTTTTAAGAAAATGAAGGATACAAACTTCTTTTTTTCGTCAATGTCCTCCCCGCCGTCTAATCCTCAACATTTTATCCAATTTTCTGTTAAATCATTAATAATATATTTTTTGTTGTTGAAAAAATAGAAATAAAATAACCAAGAAAAAAACCCCACCCCACCCACAGACCCAGCGCCCCCTCTCCCTCCCCTCTAGTTTTTTTCTCCTTCTCATCCTCTCCCTGACGCTTCTCCCCCACACCCAGCGACTCCAGCCCATTCCCAGGGATTCCAGCTTAGCCCCTTCAACCCTCTCTCTCTCTCTCTCTCTCTCAACCCAGCTGTATTTTCACTCAATATAATCGCCTCCTCCTCCTCCTCCTACAAAGGATGCAACCCTTTCCTCTCTCACTCATACCCACCTCCTCATCCCTAGCTGTATTTTCACTCAATATTAAAGGTGGGTGTTGATGGCTTCTTGAGTTGGAATTAGGGAAGCGGCTAGTGGAATTGGATGGAATTTGGGGAGGAGGAAAGGAAGAGAGAGAGAAGGCGGTGGGAGTGGTGGGTTGATTTTTATTAAAATTATTTTATTTTATATATTTTATATTTAATGTTATTTTATATTTCAGTATTTAGTTATTTTTAATGTACAAATTAGATGAAATGTTGACAAATTAGACGACAGGGGGGAAATTGGGAAGAAAAAAAAAAGGAGTTCATATCCTTAATTTTCTAAAAAAATGTATAATGGGCAAATCGAAAGTTAGATATAAGTTTATGGGGTAAATCACTAGTATACCGTACATTAAATAATAAAAATAGTCAGTTAACTTGCAAAAATTTAAAGAACTGAACTTTTATACTGATAAAAAAAAAACTTTTATTAAAACGCATTAAAATCATAATTTAGCAAGCCTACGCAAATGTAGGTTAGATCAATTGGCTTTACTTTAATGGCATGTTTACTAATTCATAATCGGGTTCGGAGGAATTGAATTGAGGAGGAGTTGGAATATGGATTCCCATTAAAAAAAAATTCATTCGATATTGAGTTTCATTAAATAGAAGGTCAAAGCCAGGTTACATCAAATTGAACTCAAATAATTGAGTTCACACATAATGCAATACAAACAGACATAGAGCACACTACAAATAAAACTAACAAAATGCATAGAGCACACATAAAGGCATTAAGCCCGTATAGGGCCAAGAGCCCACATAAAGGCAAAAAGCCCACAAAAAGCAAAATCCCACAAAGCACAACACAAGATTAGGAAACCCTAACACCATTAACAGATATGTGCCGCACAATCCTACCGCAACAAGCTGCACCACCATAGCAAGCCGACAACCACCAAAGAGAAACCAGTAACCAACAGAAAATGGTGGTGAGCAAGCCACCCAAGCTACACCTAGTAGGAGTAGCGCTACCATAATCCAAGCAATAAGGGCGATTTGCACTTTAAAGGCATCCCAAACTCCATCCGTTCTGTGGAGTCAAGGAGCCGATGATAGTTGTTAAGACCAACCGATGTGACGTAGCCTCCAACAATGAGGAGAGAAAATGCTTTGCAGAAACCTGTAAAAAGCACCAGAAAAATAAAATTGAAGCCTTCACGGCCTAAAAGATGAAACAAATTAAACTTAAATAAAAGGAAAATAGGAAACAAAAAAAGAAGAAAAGAAAAGGAGCTGGCTCTGCAAAAACAGAGCAGCAACCCAAAAATGGAGGAAAAGTTTGGTGGGTGGGGGGGGGGAGGTAGGGAAAAAGGGGGGTGAAGGAGAAAATCAGAAAAGAATTAAAAAAGATGGCTCTCCATTAAAGTTGTTTACTAAACTTTGTGGAATTGGGATAAGAATGGTATTGATTCTTTATAAGTTGTTTACTAAATTATCAAGAATTGGAATTGAAAGTAGTTTGATTACTAAAATGCACTTGTTCTAAATAAATTATTGGTTTAAAATGGATGGTAAATTTGGAATTTTAAATTTTATGTAAGAATATAATGGGTAAAAAAGATAAATTATTGATCCGCTAGTTCTCCGGGAATTAGAATACCACCTCTCACCCAAGAGGCCAATTCCTCAAAAATCAAGAGTTAAATTCCTGATTTTATGCGAGTGCCGCTTGCTCTTTCATTCCTTTATATGAAGTAAACACAAGAGTAATTTGTAATCGGAGTTCAACTCTTTATTTTGATTCCCATTACAATTAGTAAACATGCCATAAATAATCAAGGATAAAACTGACCTTTTTTCCTGTCCTTTTACAATTGCTAATTGGAAAACTTAAAACACATGAAAACACCTTCCCAACAATGTTGTGCGCTTGATCATAATTCAAACAAGGCTAATTGCAATACTACATTATAAGAGGTACAAATGTTTTAAGCAGACTAGATCCAATTTTCAGCAATGTTACAGATCATTTATTTCCATGACTTACATTTATACAATTAATTGAAACCAGCACTGTTGAGTTTATTCTTCAACCAACCAAAGCACCTGAATCAATTATTAGCTCATCCTTCACAAGAAGAAGTGCAGATTTTCCTGGTTCTTTGGCACCTCATTGCCAACTAATGGGTCAATGGTTTTTTTCCATCCATTAAAATCTGTAGGGGAGCCAGCATCAGGCAATACAAATCCATTTATAAAGAAAGTTGGCGTTGCATACACCCCTCTTGAAGCGCTATACTGCATGTCAAAAGACATTCAACATGAAAAAAACAGATTGGGCAAACTTGATGATTGAATCCAAAACTCAATAAAAATGAATCAAAGATACTGATAAACACTGGTAGTTAATATATCCTGAAAAATGTGCCTAATTATCACACCAATTGAAACATATGTAAAAAAGAAATGAACATATACTACATTACCTTGAAGGAAACCCTAGTTTTGAGATCCGTTTTCCGGTCATTGAGGCCGGATTCAAGGTCACTATGATAGGAGTTCCCAACTACTTCTGTGACAGAGTTGACAATGTCATTTGCAACTGCAACTCTGGAAAGGTTGCGAGTTTGTGCATTATAATACTTCTCCTGTTTAATTTTGTGGAACAAGTTAACAACACATCAATATATTGGCTAATAAACTATCAAGCAACCAAGCCTTTTTCTACACAAACGAATGAAAGTAAAAGATTTCATAGGAGAAATAAGAGAATGAAATCCAGCCAAGTAAATTATCATTTTTTATTTCCTTTTATAAAAATAAAAATAAAAATAAAAAATAAAAGAAGAAAACAGCTGAGTGATGGACACGAATGAGAGGCAGTCTGCAAAATTCAATCTCTAGTTCAGATAGACCAATAGTAGCTAGCCACCACATGTGACTATTTATATACAAGACCCAAGTACACAATCAGGAGAAGTACAGGAGATGCAAGTCAATGCCTAATCAGCGCAGCAAATGAAAAATGAAGTACAGAATTAGCACCCAAAAAGAATTTGAATATGCTATAAACAAACAAGCAAGTGTTAACCTGATTCTTGAAGAACCACTCCAACAATGGGAATGTAGCAGAAGCGTTCAGCTGATTTACGATGTGTAGTACACGAGAGCTAACAAAAGCATTGTCATGGTAACTGCAGTTTCAGAAACGAGAGTATTTTGTAACTACTGTGCAAGTTTAGCAAGGTAAAAAAAAACTATACATTTCAACAGTTGACAGACAAATGGGCAGATAAATCAGGATCATGAAAAATTTACCAATGTCTCAATTATTAATTTTGGAAATTAACCCTGGTGAATTCAATTGGTCAGTCTAATAGTTTCTTATTCACTTTTAAGTTTTCTTTATAATATCTGAATTCAATTCAAGCCCAGAAATCATTGGCCATTGGCAATTAAAGAGAATCATAACTCCCAGTTAAAACATAAATCTGGCGTTTTATATAATAAATTAAGCCATGCAGTCGGTTTCTCAAAAGCTATGCTTGTTTGATTGATCGTTTCGTTCTGTTTCTTATATTCTTTTCCCAGGCGTTTTCTGAAAACCAAAAGGAGAGCCGAAAAGCAAAAGAGAGAGAGAGAGAGAGAGAGAAATATGTCTACTTACGGCAACGGTAACAGGTGAACCACCACCGAAATGCGAGGAGCGTAGTGCCGGAGGGCTTGTTTGAGGGGTGGCCAGGCGTCCCTACTGTCTGGGCACACCGGGTCGAAGAACGCTTCAATCAGGATCGAATCCGAGTCAACTCGGTGATGGCCGTACACGAACCCATCGTATTTTGCAGGGGGTAAGTTTTGTGCACATCCCTTCAAAACAAAGACCACCAACAACACCCAAGCTGTGTGTAATAACATGAAGATTCTGTGCATTTTTTTCGTCGAGCGGATTGTGCAAGGAAGGTAAATCACCTGAGCTGCTAGACCAAGACTAGATAGATAGATATATATACACACAGCCTACAGCAACGACTTCTTCCCCTTATTTTTTTAATTTTACTTTGACTATTCTGAAAAATATTTGATTATTTCATGGCCGGTGAAATTGTATCTTCCCTGAATTTTGACGAAAATGAAACAGTAGAAGGACGTTGTAACTTCCCTGGTTTATGGACAAATTAGATGGTAGGATTTCCAATGCAACCGATGCGGAAAAATCTATTGGGTTGGTATCGTTCAAATGAAATCCAATTAGTTTTAAGTTTGGGCCTATCGGGTAGCCCGCAGTGTATGTGGATAATGAAAGCGGAAACCAGGGATAAGTTTGTTGCAGAGCCCAGCGCACATAATGAGGGCCCACGTGGACTTAAAAAGTTTCCAAAACTTGTGAAATACGAAACGCGTGAAGAGGCAGCCAGCCAAGGAAAAGGAGTGAAAGAGAAATGAGGTATCCATGATATCGATCTCCTTCCAAATGGAGCCGTTACGCACCCAAAAAAACCGATACACACGTCACCTTTGGTTACTGTAAACCACCCCGGCAACACCTCACTTTCCCACCTCAGATCCATCTCCCTAAACGATCATATTTAATTCCCCAGCTTTCACTTCTTTTTCTGTTTCTGTTTTGTTTTGTTTTCTAGAAGGTTACAAAACCCTATTTTCGGCTATATGTTTTGCAGTTAACACCACCACCAGTTGAGTGCAGTACCCATCACTTGAGCTTCTCCGCAAACACCACTAGCCAAGCCAGCCACCCTATACTGGCGTAAATAAATTGATCCATTGAGAAAGAAAAGAAATGCTTGTTTCGGTGTTTATGGCTCTGCTTCTACCAAGCGTGGGCATCAGCGCTGTTTTCGTAGTGTACATCTGCCTGTTATGGTATGCTACGAGTAACCAGGAGCAGCTCGAGGTTGGGTTGCCGGTGAAGCAGGTTTCCCAAAAGGGGTTGTCAGCCTCTGAACTCGACAAGTTGCCTAAAATCACAGGGAAAGAGTTGACGACGGAGAGGACGGAGTGCGCGGTGTGTCTCGACGAGATAGAGGGAGAGCAAGTGGCTCGGCTGGTTCCCGGTTGCAATCACGCTTTCCATCTGCTATGCGCCGACACCTGGCTTTCTAAGCATTCCTTTTGTCCAGTTTGTAGGGCCAAACTCCACCTTCATCAGGATCTTCCACAGTACTCTGTCACTTGTTCTGAAAATCCCTGCTAATTAATTAAGATACAAGAAAAGGAGAAAAAAGGATATTAGAGAAAATGTCCACTAATGTACTGGGGTACTGTTGAATCTGCTGATATTCATCGCCCCGATTACGCCTACTGCTACTGTATGTATCAACTTAATTAATTATTAATTTATTGTTTTGAATATTATTAAAATTTTCTGACTTCTTCTACATAAAGTGAAATAAAATTTGTTAACATGAATTAAAATGGTAGGTTGGGTTGGGTCACCTGGGCTGGGTCTCATGATTGTGCTGAGCTGTGTGACTGCTACACTGCCAGTATGAACTCGCTACACTACACAGTAGCATATCTCTTGCGGGTGTGTGTGCGCCGTAGGGCCACGTCAGTGAGTTGGTGAATGGTAATTGACCAGTTTGACCCCCAAAGTCCATGCGCTGGGTGCGCTGGCAGTATTCATTCAATCCCCCATCTGAAAGTTGTATTTCTTCCACCAGAAATGATTTGATTGCACGCTACGTGTCCAAATTTGTGTCTAAATTGTTTGATTGCAGTTCGCTAGCTGTGTATGTTTCTTCGAGTTCAAAGGGGTAATTGATATGCATACTCCAGCTGTAACACTTATTACTGTGAGAACAGCTTTTCATTTAAGTAGACAATAAAATTCTACACAAATTTCCAATATTGTGAGATACAGTACAGATACAGAGGAGGACTTAACTCCTCCGGAATCATCGGGTTGGGTTTTACATACTCAGAAAAGGTAGGCAATGGTGGAATGCTTAGCTGTGTAAATGGTTCGTATTACTATTACATTCTAGATTTATTGTTCAGTTTATTCCAAATTAACTACTTGGAGATTTCATACACCCTTTCTCATTGAGACGATCTTCTTAAAGGCATATTTTGATTTCTATGCGTTTTTGCTACGTGATAAAACATCAACTTCAAGGCAGGGGAAGTCATGAATCAAGAAATTTAGATAAATCAAAGTATTGGAATCGGATCAACTATTCCTCTTGGTTGGTCTTATTCTTGATTTTAAAAGTATTCGATTATGAATTTTAAAATATAACTGATGAAATTTATGATTTCTTATGTGTTAATAAACGTAGGTGAAATCAAGCATTGAAATCATTCCAATACCCATTCCTGAAAAATAAACATGCCCGTGTTAATTTTACACATTGTCTTTACTTCATATCGTAAAAAAGCTTACAAGTTGCACCCCCATCAAAGGGCAATTCTCATTTGGATTATGGATTTGAAGGAGGATGATCCAAACCTACAAATTCACATGGGCCTCTTAATTTTGAGAGTGATTAAAAATATCTTGGGTTTAGCCCAATGTGTTTTCATTTTGAGCTGGAGAACCCAAAGCCCACTGAAATATTCAAGTCCTATATATACCCAAGTAAAGTAACCCAACCAAACTCGCACGCGAAACGTTGGAACGCGGAATTTCCAAAATCCGTTAAAATATTAACGGCAACCCACCACAAGAGTGAGTCAACCTTGGGTCATGGGCCCTGAGCTGAACCACTTTTCCCTATTCTTTTATACTTTTCTTTTTCCAAGTCTTTAAATTTTTTAAAAAGTACAGGCGTGTAGCCGAAATACTTCCTCACGCCACGTGTTCATAGTTTAAGAGGACACGGAGCCTACAATCGCTGGCTTGCAGGTCACGAACTCTTTATCTAATTAGATGATCACTTTGGCTTTCTCTTTCTTCGACAATGTCACAAGTCACAACAATGCAAATGCAATGCGGAAGGACAGGTGGCATCGGTGTTTAAAAGATAACTTCTGGTGGGACCCAGTTATATTCTAAATGATTGTAGGTTATTGAGAGCAAGCCAACAACTTCCCATGTAGCTGCACGTGACACCACTTGTCGTGCGTTTTGAACGTCAAAATAAGATGAGGAAGGGGAATTCAAACTCGGGTGTAAAGTGGGGATCTCATCAGCTCTAATTAATTTGACTTGTTAATTAGATAACAAGAGCTTTTACCCTTATTTATTGGACGTTTTTCATAATTGTGATTTTAGTCTTATTTGTTTGAGTGTTTGGTTGACGCCGTTGGATTGCAGCTGGTACGTAAAAGGTAAAGGGCTCTCGTATTTTCCAGGAAAAGGGAAGAAGGAATAGTTGGAGTTGAAGTTGAAGAGAAAAAGAGAAAGTGGGAAAGAAAGTAGAGAGACAGGTGTCCCTCTCTGTTGGTATGGCTTTCACAAATCACGACCATCAATTCAAAATCCTTTATGACTACACGGACCTTGCCTCTGCATTGTTGCCAAGTGCCAACCCATTACCCAAATATAAATAGCATGAGTCATGACGATATATATAATAGAAAAGAAAAGGCATCCTAGCATGCTCGTCTATGGACCAACCAATTACCTAAACATGTGGCAGCTTATGGTTTGCTTGGGTTCACCTTTCAAAGTGGGGACAGATAAGCGTGGATGTTTTGGATACAAATTGCGGTGGTGATTGAACAAGCATCAGTTTTGCCAGGTGCGCTACAAGTAGGTAATTTGTGTCTCTTGGCTTGGGGAGATTCAGATTGATGAATGCTTTGTGTTGGAGTTTTGATGTATGTATGTATGTATGAATATGAATATGATGGGGCTGAATTAATTAGCACACGATGTACTTAATGACGTGGTAAGTAAGAAGAATAAGGTTCTTCTTCCTTGGAATATATAAGCGTACTGGAGGCTTCTTTTCAGTTTTGGATTTTATTAGAGCCTGCGGTACTCTTGTGTGCGTCTTGTAGCTCAACAGATATATATGACGAAGGAGATGAACCTGAAGATCAATCATGATTGTCAAGCTGTAAGCAACGGTGGCGCAGCTTCTGATGCCGACACCGTCTCAAGCTCCAGAGTTTCATCTCTCCTGGCCTCCAAAGATCGTGACTTTCTTCTTTCTCCAACTGGAAATCAGGTTCTCTCTCTCTCTCTCTCTCTCCATAAATTTCTGTACAGCTAGCTACTACGTACTGTTAAGACCTTTACACCGGAAAAGTTGTTTCAGAGAAAAGTAAACTTGAGTGTTTGTGATGAACAACGTTAACTAATTGAACTTTTGTATTGAAATAGTTGATATTTTCTTTCCGAGTAATAGAGTTTCGTTTTTGGAATAAAACCTACAAATTTCATTAAATATACTAATTCAACTGGATGTACGGAACTTTCTAGAATTATCAGTTGCAACTTGCAACAATTTTCTGCAATCCGATTCAATGATTCTGAAATATCGTGCTATTTCGCATAAGCATAAAATATCGTACCATTTCTCTAAAATAAAATATTACCATAATTGTTAGTTGCAACGTATTTTCCCCCTAGATCTTTAAGAATTTAAATGAAAAAACCAGGATTATTTGAGGTAGGTTGAGATAGATTTAGATTTGGTGGGTGGCAGATTTGTCTTGAACTAGCTTGAATCATCAGCTTATTTTACTTACTCATATTGACAATAATGATAGACAAACTTGGATATTAGTACCAGATTTATCTTGAATTAGTACCTAATTAACTTTTTTTAAAAAAATGACTTTTCCTATTGAGAGATGCGATAATATACTAAATTCATACACACTCACTCCTGATTAATCTTATAACAAGTATCCATATTGTTCATGTTTTGGGTAATATATGTGTGTACGTAACGTACTTAAGTCTTATTTTATTTGGTATTTTATGTATAAAAAAAGTTAGCAAAGTTAACAATCCAGAAGAAGAAAAAGGGAAATTATAAACCTTGGTTTGGTTGAAGGCACCGAGAGTTGAACATTTTGATTGAATATAGTTGTTTATTATTCATCATGTATGGGTAGCTAAGCGAAACAAATGTGTACGTAAGTGCATGTTGATGGTGAATAACAGAAATGTGTTATTAAACAAAGCAAACGTGTATGCCATTCAAATGTTGTAAAAGTTTTTATCACTTGTTCTGATTGTATTGTAGTTCCCATTCTCCATGGTTGTTCGTTCTCCTTTTTTATTTTCTGTCTTAAGTTGGTGGCCGAAATAGTCCATGAAAAACAAACAAGGTTTTGAACTATGTTTGATTCTTGCAATGTATAGATTGTTAATTTTCTTTGGTCGGTCACTCACTCACTCACTCCTCCGGAGTATAATTAATGCGTTCTACTCTTCTTTTTAATTAAAAGAATGTAATTTTCCACGGCTGAAAAGATAGGGTAAAAAACCAACGACTTTTTATGTGTAAACTCGGATGGTATGCTAAAATTCACTGTCAATGGATTCTCATTTTTATCTTGTCTTCTCTTTGAGGGTTAAAAGCGAAAAGTTAATTGTAAACTCGGATGGTATGCTACTATCCATATTCTATGGTAGATGTCACGGGATGCACATGCCAATTGATGTCTTAATCAAAAGGAAGATGGGCAACAGCCGCGTTGGCTGTCTATGGAGAAGAACCACTCTAAATCGACATGTGGCACCTTAATTATATCAATTTTGCCCCACATTCACGTTATTGGTATACACGTGGTCCACTGGCACCCATCCACTTGTATTTTTGGTGAAACATCGCTTTCGAGCTTTTGTAGATTCTAGAGCCCCTATCCTGTTCCTTGGTGGAAAAGTTTCGGGAAACTATTCGGTGCTGCTGGCAATCTTAGGCTTATTTCGCCACTGACCTAGTGATGATCTGATCTCATCTGTTCCCTTGTCGGAATTATTCAAGCCCTCCATATTCCCATCCATTAATCTGATTATGGTTACTGATCTCATCCACTTCAATCGGGTTTATATTTGGCCTGGGAATAGTTCTTAAGAATATATTTATGTCTTTCGAAACAAAAGAAAAAAGGTGGTATTCAATTGTCCTTATCCTCAATATATATATTCTCAATTCTAATTAGTATGAAAAAGAAAGGGAAAGCAAGTTATAGAAAAATCAAGATTCAAGAGCGTTTTGCTTGTGGCAGGTGAAAGTTTGTGATCTTGAGGGGAAGATCATAGGGCTCTACTTCTCAGCCAACTGGTACCCGCCATGCTGGAACTTCAACCAAGTCCTGGTTGGCATCTATGAGCAGCTCAAGAGTAGTGGGTCTAATTTTGAGATTGTGTACATCTCGTCTGATGAAGACGCCGATGCCTTTAACATCTACCATGCATGCATGCCATGGCTGGCCATTCCCTTCTCTGATTTGGACACCAAGAAAGCTTTGAACCGTAGGTTTGACATAGAAGGCATTCCCAGCTTGGTTATTTTACAGCCTAACGATAATAAAGACGAGGCCACACTGCGCGATGGAGTTGAACTTATTTACCGCTACGGGGTGGAAGCCTTCCCTTTTACAAAACAAAGGTTGGAAGAATTGCAAGATGAGGAGAGAACGAGGCATGAGAACCAAACTTTGACAAATTTACTAACAAACCACGACAGAGACTATCTTTTGGGTCACCCCACGCCTAAACAGGTAACTTTTCCTTGTATATATCCATGCATCATGCATGTACCACTGCCTATATATATAATAATAATAATATGCATGGATGTCTATTATCTTGTGCATGCTGCATGCATGCAGGTGCCTGTTACTTCATTGGTAGGCAAAACAATTGGACTCTACTTCTCAGCTCATTGGTGCCGTCCATGCGTTAATTTTACTCCTCGGCTGATCTCCATCAACCAGAAGATTAAGGAGCAAATGCTGGTAGATGGAGAGGACTTCGAGATAGTATTTGTGTCCAGTGATCGTGACCAAGCATCGTTCGACTCCTACTTCGACACCATGCCATGGCTAGCGTTGCCTTTTGGAGATCCAAACATCAAACAACTTGTCAAGCATTTTGATGTCAAAGATATCCCTTGTTTGGTAATTTTAGGGCCTGACGGTAAAACCGTGACCAAGCAGGGTAGAAATCTCATCAACTTGTACCAAGAAAACGCCTATCCCTTCACCGAGGCAAAATTGGAACTGCTGGAGAAAAAAATGGATGAGGAGGCTAAGAGCCTCCCTAGGTCGGTGTACCATGGAGGGCACCGGCACGAGCTTAATTTGGTATCGGAAGGCAACGGAGGAGGACCCTTTATATGCTGTGACTGTGATGAACAAGGATCAGGTTGGGCTTACCAATGTCTTGAATGTGGATATGAGGTGCACCCCAAATGTGTGACTCTGACTGTTGCAGCCAATAGCAACAGGTGATTCAGTTAAGCGTTGTGTGTGCGTGCCTTTGTGCTGATGCTACTAATTAAACTTGAGCTGTATTATATAATTTCTGATATTCGTTTGTTAATTAAGATTTGAGATTGGGATTCCCTTTGAATCATTTATATATGTAATGTGGTTCTCATTTCTCAAGTAATTAATTGGCACTGAAATTATTGGGTGTGATCACAAGTACATCTCTACGTGTTCTCTTACGATTTTTTATTATTTTGTTTTCTAACAAAAATGCTAGTCATACCACCACCTCTATACCTCTAATAGAGGTGGATCCCATTGCATTGGTGGGCTCCACCTCTTATATTAGAGAGTTGATATGCAAGGTGGTAAATGTCTAGCTTTTTCCTGCCCAAGTCATTTTATTGTGAGGGCCTTATATATGGCCCTTAAGTGAGGTCTTATCTCTTAATTGTTGGATGAGGCTAACTAATTTGATCCAACGAAAAATCAATTTAATCCAATAATTAAGAGATATAACCTCACTTAAAGACCATATATAAGGTCCTATAGAATTCTTGTTCCATGCCTAGAATTGCTGTTTTTTGAAGGTTTACAGTATTAGCCCAAAAGTAAGTCAATTTTAAAGTGGACGATATACAAAATTCATATTATGGGAAACTTGTTTCGCTTTAATTCTGTGAAGTCCATGGGCCACATTTGTGTATTGCAAACTAGTGCTTATTGGGCCATAGAAGTTCAATTCAATTTCATATTCAGATCCAAGTCCAGAAGTTGGATCAAAACGGGGCAGAGAAGAATTTTAGAGAAGGGAGAGGGAGCCATAAAATCGAAACGCACATACACGTGAAATGAATTGCGTAAGACTGAAGCGAGAGACAAAATTGGTAACGGTGGGCAGGTCTCTGTTTTTTTTTTTTCGGTCAATGCAGGTCTCTGTTTAGGCATTGCAAAGTAAAGCGTACGCGGGCGAAAAGTGTAGCTAAGTGACGAAGAATGATGCTCAGGACAATCCAAAGGGGAAAAGCAAGGCACAAATTAAAGCGCAGCGCAAGAAGCAAACAACTAAATATGCTCTGCTCCTGAACGAGTTAAAACCTGTAAACAAACCCAAAAGCCTCAAACTTTCTGTCTCTGTGTCTCTCTCTCTCTAACATACACATACACATACGCAAGAGGGAGAATGGGGCTCTGCTTCACCAGATGTCGATCCCGTGACATCCCAATCTCTTCCTCATCAGATTCACCTCCTCCCCACTACCAGCAAACATCCAATAAAACCACTTCTTCAAAACCGAACCCGTATGCATCAGCTTATAATAAACCAGGCAATTCTTTTGGCAAGACCCCTTCGTCATCTCAGACTCAGATTGGACCCATTCTGGGCAGGCCATACGTGGACATAAACACCTTATACACCCTTGAAAAGGAGCTGGGAAGGGGTCAGTTTGGTGTCACTCATCTTTGCACAGAGAAGGCCACGGGCAAAAGGTACGCCTGCAAGTCCATATCAAGGCGAAAGCTTTCGACCAGCAAGGACATTGACGATGTCAGGAGGGAGATTATGATACTTCAGCATCTCACAGGGCAACCCAACATTGTGGAATTCAAGGGTGCTTATGAGGACAGGCAGAATCTGCATTTGATCATGGAATTGTGCTCCGGCGGTGAGCTTTTTGATCGGATTACTGCCAAAGGGAGCTACTCTGAGCGTCAAGCCGCTCAGATTTTCAGACAGATTGTGAATGTGGTTCATGTGTGTCACTTCATGGGGGTGATGCATAGAGACCTCAAGCCTGAGAATTTCTTGCTGGTCAGTAAGGATGAGAATGCCCCTCTTAAAGCCATCGATTTTGGACTCTCTGTCTTCATTGAGCAAGGTAATTATTTACTAATTACTCTGAGGCCCATATCTTTCTGTCTTCCTTGTCTTTGTTTCGATTTCTAGCCTGGCTTATTTCTGCAACTTAGTTGAGTGTTCTTATTTGCGTTATTTAATTAGTTTGTTTAATGATTTTATAATTTGACTTTTTTAGTACTGCAGTATCTGGTTTACACTGAATTTGAAGAATCAATCATAGTTATTGCTTTAAGGATGAAGAATAATTGTCCAGAAAAATCATATGTATGATTGCTAGTTTAAAAAAGGGTGCCTAGTGTAGAAGAGATTTGATGCCATTGTGTGTCGAAAAAGACCAAGTCAATGATGAATGCGACAGACAGGTCAACCAAGTCAACAATTTTAAAAATAAGGAAGAAGACAAACAGAACAAAGAAAATAAACGCAATATGTGGAGCATCACATCATGACTAGATTATGCATTAGTGAATGAAACACTGTTTAATGGGGTGTTAATTGGTTTGCTCTCAGTTATGCATTAGTGAATGAAACACTGTTTAATGGGGTGTTAATTGGTTTGCTCTCAGATCAAGTCCCCATGATACTCATGTTTGTGAATTTTCCCTCTCCTCTTCTTAATTTTGGCAAAATTTGTGTGAAAATGGGATAGTACCTTCCAATCACGATATGCCAAGTGGAAAAGTTATCACACGTGACATAGCGTAATTAGTATGAGATTGCATAACAGTGCTATCCCGTTCCACACAGGTGTTTGTCCCAGGGAGGCACTATCAAACACCACTGAGCACTGACTAAAACTACCATGGTACTTGATATCTAATACCATAAAACACGATAATTTTAGAGCTCTAGTTGTCAACTTATAATAGAGCAGGGTATATATTTAGTTTTTTCGGTCACATGAAGAAACACTCAACACAAATATATTTAATGATCGGAATGACTTGGTAAGCAATTCTCTGCAGGGAAAGTGTACAGGGACGTTGTTGGGAGTGCCTACTATGTGGCCCCGGAAGTGTTGGAGCGAAATTATGGGAAGGAGATAGATGTGTGGAGTGCTGGAGTCATTTTATATATTCTTCTAGCTGGAGCGCCTCCCTTTTGGGCTGGTAGGTGTACTTGCATGGCTTCATTTTATGCTGCTCTCTGTGTGCGTTTCATCAACCGATGTTAATTATTTACAGTTTGTTTTTAATCTTAATTCTACGCTTTTGATCTGTTCTGTGTGCCCAAATTCTGTTTTAGAGACTGAAAAGGGGATATTTGAAGCAATTATAGAAGGCAAACTTGACTTGCAAAGTTCCCCATGGCCTTCTATCTCTGATTCTGCAAAGGATCTCATCAAGAAAATGTTAACAAGAGACGCTAAGAAAAGAATTACAGCTGCTGAAGTTCTCGGTAAGTGCATAATTGCTTGTGTCCTGTTGTTGACAGCTAACTTGAGTCAATCTAGGGTTCATCCTTGATGTGGAGCACTGAATTGATTGGGAAAGTCATCCATTCATGTCATTTACATTGTGTGTATTTTAACCAGAACATCCATGGATGACGAAAGACGGTGAAGCCTCTGACAAACCAATTGACAGTGCTGTTCTAATTAGGATGAAGCAGTTCAGAGCAATGAACAAGCTGAAGAAACTTGCTCTGATGGTAACTGATCTTAACCATCAATTCTTTCTCCAAATTTGCTATTTTCGTAATTTTCAGAAGCTGATAGCTTTTCCTGGATGCCTTCTTTTCCTTGTAGGTAATAGCGGAAAACCTTTCAGAAGAAGAAATTCATGGCCTGAAACAAATGTTCAACAACATGGACACAGATGGAAGTGGCAGCATCACATTTGAAGAACTTAAAACTGGATTGACAAGGCTGGGATCTAAGCTTAGTGAAACAGAAATAGAACAGCTGATGGATGCTGTCAGTACTAGAAAAATCTATCTTCATGCTCAGCTTTTTGATCAGTTGGCTTTTCCTCAGCATTATCCAGTTACATTTTTTATTTGGTTTTGCTTTTGTGGTTAGGCTGACATTGACAAGAATGGGACTATTGATTACACTGAATTCATCACTGCTACCATGCATCGCCATAAACTGGAGAAGGAAGAAAACTTGTCCAAGGCTTTCCAGTTCTTTGACAAGGATCAGAGCGGGTTAGTTTACTAGTTTTCTTCAACTCATCGTTCATGTGAGATCTATTAATCTATAAATGACTTAAACCCCTGTGAGGAGTGATGATCATTCAAACTTTTAATCATGTTTATGTGCGGCGACGATCAATTTTATTGGGAATTAGATGTTCCTCATTCTACTTGTGGTTTGAGCTTGGCAGGTATATCACAAGAGATGAGCTAAGACAAGCAATGACTAAATATGGGATGGGGGATGAAGCTACTATAGATGAAATCATTGATGATGTGGATACTGATAAAGTAACTCCCTTCTGTTTCTGTTGTGTGTTTTTCATCATAGACTTCAATACTCTGAAATTGACTGAATACTAACTGATTTAAATTTTGTAGGATGGGAGAATCAACTACGAGGAGTTTGTGGCAATGATGAGACAGGGAGTTCAAGATTCTGATAATAAACAAAGATAGATTTGAGTTTTACTCCCAATCCATCTATATACAAATAAAACACCTTCCAATGGCAAAGGCAATAGTTCCAACTTGTTGCTTCTGCCTGCCTCTCTGTTGTAGGCTTTGGCGCCATTACCTCACTTTCTACTTGTAACTCATCAATGTCTATAAATAAAATTAAGCTGTTATTAATATTATATATCATGTACGACATCAATAAATTAATAACAATAACAATATATCCAATTTCAGATTAAAATATTGCCTTGCAAGAAACTATTTTCATTGCCTCTAATAAGACAAAGTAAAAAATTTAAGATACAAACGACATGTCGCTTAGGTAAGGAGTAATATGTTCAACGAAGCCTCCGTTGTTAAACACTTTTGGAGGGAAGTCGCTGCAGAGAAACCATGACAAGGCAACCTCTGAATCTGTTGGACCATTTGCATCAAACTATCCTCCAATTTCTAAATCCCTTCACAGCTTCTTTATCACAGGCACGTCAAGCCCATGCCCAGATACTCAAGACTGGCCTCTCCAGTGATACCAATCTCACCACCAAGCTCCTCTCTCTCTACGCCAACAATCTCTGTTTTGACGACGCAAACTTCGTTCTCGATTCGATTTCAGAGCCCAACTTGTTCTCCTACTCTACCCTCATTCACGCTTTTGCAAAGCTCAACCAGTTTGGCCATGCACTCGGTCTGTTTTCTCAAATGCTATCTCGAGGCCTCCTGCCGGATAGTTTTCTCTTCCCTAGTGTCGTCAAAGCCTGCGCTGGACTGCCGGCTTCGAAAGCCGGGAAACAGGTTCATGCCATCGCGTCTGTATCTGGGCTTGCTTCGGATTCGTTTGTGCAGTCCTCTTTGGTACACATGTATATTAAATGTGACCAAATTAGAGATGCCCGCAAGCTTTTTGATAGAGTGCCTCATCGGGATGTGATTATTTGCAGTGCTTTGATTTCTGGCTACTCTCGCCGTGGATACGTAGATGAGGCAATGCAACTCTTATCTGAGATGAGGGATATGTGTTTGGAACCCAATGTAGTCTTGTGGAATGGGATGATTGCGGGTTTTAATCAGAGTAAGTTATATGCCGATACAGTTGCTGTGTTACAGAAGATGCATTCAGAAGGTTTTCGACCTGATGGGTCTAGTATTTCTAGTGCTCTTCCTGCTGTAGGACACTTGGAGGATTTGGGCTTGGGGATTCAGATTCATGGCTATGTGGTCAAGCAGGGACTTGGGTCGGACAAGTGTGTCGTCAGTGCACTTATTGATATGTATGGGAAGCGTGCCTGCTCATTTGAGATGTCACAAGTTTTTCATGAAATGGATCAAATGGATGTTGGTGCTTGCAATGCTCTAGTTACGGGGCTTTCCCGAAATGGTCTTGTTGACAATGCACTGGAGGTATTCAGGCAATTTAAGGACCAAGGGATGGAACTGAATATTGTGTCTTGGACATCCATAATTGCTAGTTGTTCCCAAAATGGGAAGGATATGGAGGCTTTGGAGCTTTTTAGAGAGATGCAGGTTGAGGGTGTGGAGCCAAACTCTGTGACTATCCCTTGCTTGCTTCCAGCTTGTGGCAATATTGCAGCCTTGATGCATGGGAAGGCGGCCCACTGTTTTTCCCTCAGGAGGGGGATCTCTAATGATGTGTATGTGGGTAGTTCATTGATTGATATGTATGCAAAATGCGGAAAAATCCGTTTGTCTCGGCTTTGTCTTGATGAAATGCCCACCAGAAATTTGGTTTGCTGGAATGCTGTTATGGGCGGATATGCAATGCATGGAAAGGCTAATGAAACTATGGATGTGTTCCGTTTGATGCAGAGGAGTGGTCAGAAGCCTGATTTTATCAGTTTTACCTGTGTATTGTCTGCGTGCAGCCAGAAAGGTTTAGCAGACGAAGGATGGTATTATTTTAATAGCATGTCAAAGGAACATGGTCTAGAAGCTAGAGTGGAGCATTATGCTTGTATGGTGACACTTCTTAGTCGTTCTGGAAAACTTGAAGAGGCTCATTCCATGATCAAGCAAATGCCATTTGAACCAGATGCTTGTGTTTGGGGAGCTTTACTGAGTTCTTGTAGAGTTCACAGTAATGTGACTCTAGGCAAGTTTGTTGCAAAGAAGCTCTTCAATTTGGAACCGAAAAATCCTGGGAACTACATTCTTCTGTCGAATATTTATGCTTCCAAGGGCATGTGGAGTGAAGTAGATAGAGTGAGGGATAAAATGAAGAGTCTTGGTTTGAGGAAGAACCCAGGGTGCAGTTGGATTGAAGTCAAGAATAAAGTGCACATGCTTCTTGCAGGAGACAAAGCGCATCCTCAAATGAACCAAATTATTGAGAAGTTGAATGAATTGAGCTCGGAGATGAAGAAATCAGGATACTTCCCCAATACCCACTTTGTATTGCAAGATGTGGAGGAACAGGACAAGGAGCAGATTTTGTGTGGACACAGTGAAAAGTTGGCTGTGGTGTTAGGGCTTCTAAACACTCCTCCAGGGTCTTCCCTTAGGGTAATTAAGAACCTCAGGATTTGTGGTGATTGCCATGCTGTTATAAAATTCATCTCCAGCTTTGAAGGAAGAGAGATTTCAGTCAGAGACACCAATCTCTTTCATCATTTTAAAGATGGAGTTTGTTCTTGTGAGGATTATTGGTGAATTATGAGCATGGCTGACTAGGGGATTACTCTTCAAAAGAGTGAAGTTAATTCTTCAAGCCATTAAGTCCTTTAGGTAGAGCACAGTGCAGAGACAACCGTGAACCTTAAGGTGATGGAACTAAACTTAGCTTACATACTTCTATTATGGTTCTTCACAATGTTGTAACGCAATGCGTACTGGTTTCCGTCTGTAGGTTTTGCTCCCTTTTTCTCTTGCCGTGCTAAAAGAAATGAAGCTTATCACTAATTTTGGCCTCAAAATATACTCCAAGGATGAAAGGGGTGGGAAATCCTCCTCTCTTGCACATTGTGGAACTAGGACAGCATACAAGAATAGGAAGTTATGGATGAGTCTCATTTTGAGGTACCTCATGTAGCTTCGTTTGTGGTAAATGTGAATGATATTGCACCTTGACTTGTGTGAATGTGTTTTTTTCCCTTGTGCAGCCTTATTTTCAAGAATGATTGCATCTCTTGGACAATTTGGCATATAAAAAAAAAAAGGCAGTGTGATAACATTAACAGTTTCAATAGAAACTTGGACATTAAAATGAATGATAAATAATCCCTCATACCAGCCTGTAGTACGGGAAAGAATTAAAAACTGAACACCGAGAAAAATAATGAGAACATTGTAAAGGTTCAAAACAATTTGTAACTATATCTTTCCGCCCAATAAAAAATCGTTATTTGGGCAACTTTCTGTGTTCTCTCAATGGTATAAAATACTATTATTTTGTTAACTTACACTGTTCTCTCAATGATATCAGTTGCGGAAGGACAACCCCTAAACTGAGTGCTGGTTAGACCAGCAAATCAAGAGAATGTGGGGTTAGACCATTCTAACAGTAGTGCGTCTGGCTGCGTTTCATTTGTCAGTTTTTCTAGATCTCCAAACCGCCTGCATCGACACAACTCTCTCCCCATATCCGGCCAAATATAATGCCTTAGACTTTGTACTCTTCAATATGCATCCACTTCGTAGATGACCACTTGTTACCCCTTATCACAGGGCATCCACCTACAACAAACCATAACATGAATCAAAATCATGTACATCATACGCTGAATGACCAAAAACAGAGAGTTAACACTGCAACAAAGGCCAGGCCACATCATATTCGTCTTAAATGCATGCAAACTTTGCTACTTAAAGAATTAACACTGCAAAACCAACGCTGAATGACAATAGATTTTCGCCAATGGAGAATGTGCAAAATGGCTAACCATGCAAACTTGTTGGGTCTAGACTAGCATCAGGCCTCATGCTCCAGAAAAGTAATGCATCACCCATTTTAGGTTTCACCGAAAGTCCCTGTTTACCACATTCAGATAATTCATTCCACCATCGCACAGAATTGAAACTCCCCTTTGCAGCAGGAAACACTGTCTCACCGCCTTCTTCAACATCTGACCTGAATCAATGGCATAAGAAATGATAGAGGGAAAGAGAACACTGAGAAAACCAGTTACTGTAGTAAATATATTGAACATATTGGACGGGAGAAACTGTCTTACAGATACATCAGAAGAGTGGCAATCCGTTGGCCCCCATTCTTGGTGTTGAACTCATCAAGGAAGTAATCAAAATGTGCATCATATTTCTGTCCAACTTCATAGTGGAGAATCTGAAGTCCTTCTCCATGCTCTGAAAATTGTATGTCGGATAAAAAATCAGCAGATCATGCCTGACACTGAGATATAAAAGATAAATGGATATACACACCACTACGAGAAAAGGAAAGAGCTCATGCAATCACATAGGCAGAAAAAAGAATTACTGCATATCTGAATATGTATTTCAGAATTGTTGAACAATCTTATTATATTTGTAAGACTCCATCACAGTCATGCATTTTGAATTTTTATTAAAAGACAGAGTCAGGGCTAAGGTTTGGTTGGGTTGAGTAGCATTGCAACCACCCAGGCCTAAAAGAAGCTCGACAAAGCTTTTGTGTTTCATTTTAATTAAACAAAACACAGGATCAGTATAGAATCTATAGATCTATGATAGAACCCCCTACAATAAGTGAATATGAGACCTCCAATACTAAAAAGGATAGTGGAGTTGTAGAGAATTATGATTCCCAAGTGACATTTAAGCTTAATATTCATCTCGACACATATTTATGGATGATACTACTAATGATCTAGCTAATGCCTCTCATAACCATCAGCTACATCATAGACGCCACCTGTGTGAATTCTTTTTCCTCTTAAAATTTCTGTGATAAGAAAGGCATTTGAGAAAAAGAAAAAGAAAATCTGGACTGGAAGAAACACAATCTATCTACTCTAGCAATCACATACCTACAGGAATGAAAGTGAAGTCTGCTATTCTCTTCTCAATATCGCTAACTATTTTATCACGTCCCCTCTTCAGAAACATTCCAGAGCTTGTCCGCACCCTGCATGCAGAGAAGGAATTCTAGGGTATGGAAAGAAATTTCTAGGGTATCATAGACTACATTAATATTTGTAGGGAAGAGATCAAATGCATAGAAACGCTTTACCTACTATCTTTGCTCTTCCCAGTCTTGCTATCGACAACAGTTGACTTTACCATTTCAGGTTTAGCAAGATTTATTAAGTAGTCACATTCGTCCTTGGACTGTTACACATAAGACATCGGGATGAATTAACATTCTCGGACAATAACCAAACAATTTTTTCAACACTCATATGGATGAATTAACCACAGGTCCCCTCCTCCATTCAAAAGAAGAAGAAAAAAAAAACGAAAAACCGAATCACATTTATACCTCATCTTCATTGCTAAAATCGAATGACCAATGCCATTCATGCTCACCATGAACAGAAACACCAGCGATGGCAAATAAATTAAATAAATAAAGGCCCAGCCATAGCCTAATTCACATGGAGCGGATAAAATAATAAAAAGAAAAAGACAAAACAAAAATGAGGAAACTAACCAAGAAATTGTGATATATGAAAGCTCTGGGCTCCCAAGAAATCACTTCTGTCCACTGATCTTCTCTATCCCCGAATCCATCGGTTCTGAGAAATATAATTAAATTTTTTTAATCCAGAAAAAAATTGAAATGCCAAGCAGATCAAATTCATCGCGACCGTAGACTTATGAGCGAAACGAGTACCTCTCAACGGTCCCGCGCCTAAAGGAACTGAGATCGTTAGGTGAAGATTCGTCGGTGATAACCGGAAGGGAAACGATTCCAAAAGCCAGAAGCATCAGCAGCACCACTATTAGCATGAATAGCATCGACAAGACGAGCGTGAACGTCGACCATTTTTTGCTCTGCAACCGACCATATCTACCCTTCGCCATTGTTGAATGAGCTTGAAACCCAACCGCAATTCTCATGCAATAACGAGCAATGAATACTTAATTTATAATTTCTTGATGGCTCTCTGAGAAACAGAGCTTTCAGAATCTCACTGGGAAAGATGGGGGTTAAGAGAGCGTTGAAGTCACTTTTGAAACGTGTCCGTTATTTATAGGTTCCAGAATTTTCTATCCATAGACTATTTGACGAAATTATCCTTGTCCTAATGGGGAATGACGATATATTTTTATTTTCGGCGACGCAGTTTATGGGTATGGTAGTAATCTCATAGGTCGTGGTTTTATTTTTCAGCTTTTCGAGTGTTGTTGTGGGCTGCACACTGGTTATGACTCTCAGCAAAATCCTAGAGTTTTCAAGTCGTCTTTGTTGTAGTTCTTCTTATTGCAAGCTATTGTCCAAGTCATTAATCCCCCTTTTCTTTATAGATTTCTAGTCACAATTCTATCTAAACCTAAAAATTTACTGAAATTGAAATTTGGGTGAAACATGTTTGTTTTAATGTGAAATGGGGACTAAACAAACAAACAATCCACCACAGCCTTGCAAGTTGTAACACCCATAAGAAAACAGAAAGCTAGCCAAGTCAATGACAGCAAAGTGTTCCCTTCTCTATAAACAAGTTTGATCACCACCGCAGCACTAACACCATCCTAAGAAAGGGGGTGGCAAAGGCAATCTTCCACCTTCTGCCTCCATAAGGAAAACACCATTTTTGAATCCTTTCTTCCTTGTCATAGATTTCGTATTCGGGAATAGGGGATCATGATGACACAAAAGAAAACAGGAAACAAAAAAACATGAAACAAAGAAGAACATTCTAAGAAATCCATGACTTCAGCAACCACACCCCACCTGAGGACTGAAATGCCCTCTCAAGTCTCTTACAATCTTTCATGCTTCATTTCTGACCTTCCAAATCCAAATGGATCTCAGCAGCCCTGAGCAATAATCACTAGTATGAGTATCACCTATGTTGTTCATAACAACAGCCTCTTGTGTTGTACTTCAACCAACAAGATTTGTTCTATTTGATGTCTCTGCTTGTGTCTTTCATTGCATATGGTTATATGGTTGGTTGGACATCTAATTCCCTCTTCAAGTCAACCTTGAGCACTAGTGATTGGTCTCATACAAGAAAGCTAAATATAATTTGTCAATGAATATTGCAGCTATGCTATCGCTCATCAGCAAAATGGAACCACGAAGCAAATACCAAACCAAATCTGAGCATTGTAGCTATTTCAAAGAAAATAAAATTTGAGCATCTCATAACAATTTTTTGTGAATTCGTTATTTAAGGATTGGAAAAATATCACACAAGATGGCATTACATACCCAAACACATCTTTACAAGTTACAACAACAACGAAGGAAAAATAAATCAAACCGTTTACGCTTAATCTCCACCGCCTCGCTCCTTCTGAATCTGCTGCCTCTGCTTCTCGGCGACCTTATCTATAGCCGACTGCACAGCATCATGCCCACCGATGAGCAATCGGGTAATAATTTCCGGATCTGTCTCCAACCGGGCCTCCTCGAACTCCTTCCTTGCGTTCTCTCTCAGGACATCTCTCCAAAGCACGCCCCGAGAGTCCGGCCACATGAAGAACCGAGTCGCCCTGATAATGTCACGATACAGACCCAGTGCCTCCCGCCGAGTGCTGGTGAGTCGCCGCCGGTTCAGCAACTCCTCCTCCTCATCGTCGAGGTGCTTCTCCTTCTTCACTATGTGCCTGTCTAGAAGCTCCTCGATGGTGTCCGGGCCTTCGTGCAATAGGCGCCGGCTACAGCTAAAAACGATGTCGTAGCGCTTGATGAGCCTCAGAGGGATTCGCCATTTCTGTAGACTCGTCGTCATCGCATCTCTCTGGGCAGTTTGGTCGCGCAGAGATGCCAAACATGAGATAGAATAGAATAAAGAATGAAAATATAAGGTGGGCCTAAGGAGCCTAGTAAATCAGATGGGCTTATAATAAACTTTTGAAAGTGGGGACGATTGAGCCCAAATTGTGTGGTTTGTCTAATCCACACAAGAACGACATAATGGGTACATTCGTTTTCACTTTGTTAACCGGATTGTACCAAGATGTTTTTTTTCATTTATTTAACGAGAGAGAATCATTTTCATTAAAATATATCCTAATTTAACCAATTAACCAGGCTGGATTTCAGCGAAAAATGAGTGGACCGATTACGTTAATTTGATATGAGATTGTATTTTCCTTGAAGGACGCCCCGGTACAAGGAAAATTACAAAGGGGCCTTTATTCCCGAGTAATGCTACACTTACCATATTTTTAGACCACATAATGTGACATGTCCATATCATATGCTACAATAATTAAATTAATGAAATATATTTTAATAAAGAGAAGAGAAAAAGGTATTAATCACATTAATTAGCTAATATGTTATATACACATCAACTGTCACATCATGTGTGGTATAGAAATGTGGTAAGATATGTATTATTCTTTATTCCAAGCCCTTTATTTTAGGTTTTTTAGTTTTTTCATCAAGTAATTAGGGATGTTGTAGAATTACATATTACTACTGATCCAAAACAATCTAATTCCTAATCTAGGACTGCCTTCCAATATCATACTTTTAGTTAAAATGCTATTCTCTTTTCTTTTTTTGGTTCTGGCTTCCTTATCAAATTGTTCTTCTTCTAATTCTTTGCGGTCTCTAGGTATTTTACATTCTTTGCCAAAAACCAATTAGGAAAGCCAACTGTAGTACAACACGTGTAATAAATTTGTGTTAAAATTGAATTTGAAATTGTATTGATAGTTGCTTCCTAATAAGATTTGGTTACCAATGTACCATACTAGTTAGTATTCATGTATGCCTAAACTGGCGCACAAATATCAGATGAGAGGTATATTTATTGCGCTCCATAAAATGCAGCAATGTTACAGCCATTCTATTTGAAAGTTTTCAGAGTGTTGTAGATGGATGCTGCTGCTGATCATCGGTCTCCAAGCTTCATGACATTGAAGGAATTGATTCCGTTGCAGCCATGGAAGACACCACCCCCTCCATTTTCTCAAAGTCGATGTGGGAAGTACACCAAGGTGAAGGATCCATTACCCAAAGACGGAGCAAGAGTTGTATTTTGGGCACCAAAAACTCGGCAGAGGGAAGCTGACGACGATGACATAGATGTTGAAATTCCGTACCAAGGATTATTTGAGTTCATTGACAAGTTTGTTATCAGCAAAGTTAGGCTGTGGATTGACCGGCTACTTGGGGAGATACTGTGCTTACCAAAGTATGATGCATACCATTACCATAAGTAGACAGATTTAGAAGACAACCTTGATTATGAATCTTGTTTTGTTTTACTAGGTTTGTGAATACTTGTTCCGTTAGATAGATGCAAACTGTGTCTTGCTAATTGTCTGACTTTAGGATTTCCATTTTATATGGTGCTTTGCTGATACAAGATGATGGAAAAACAAGTTTGTTTGTTATTTGATGGCAACGCAACAACGTTAACACCTATAGATATGCAACCTAATAACTTTAGAATTTCATTAGTAAAACGAACTGGAATTTCGTGAGTGAATGGAATTTGAATTTCACGTAAATAGACTTGAAATTTTATTTGTAAAGAAGAGAGAACTGAAATTTCATGATACATCAACCTATCAAAATAAAAATCTACCTTAATTACGAAATTTATATGCTAGTTTGTACATGAAAAAAAATCTGTCACAAGTCACAGTCAACATATAAAGTTTTTAGGTCTTGCCATTAAACAAGCCTTAAACCTTTTCCTATACTAAAAATTCGAAATCATTTCTTCTGTGAATTAGTTCATATACTTCTCCAAATTCAACTATGCCCTAGGTTTCCTACTGGTTTATGAATCTGATTATTGGACTTGAATAGCACATAATCTCCAATTCCAGCCGATACTTTTAACAGAAACATTATTTTGTGATATTATTCTTCGTGGTTTTGCATTGGGCCCACAAATTCAAAAGTTTATAAGCCCACCTTATACCCGAACCTCAGGCCCATTATATTTTGTAAGTGGTCCGCGTGTTCCATGACGACCTAACGGTGTCGTTTCAAGCAAATATTCGCGCTTCATCATTCCATTCCACTCCTCCTTCTTCCCAACTCTCTTCTTTCGCCGTCTCTCTTTTCTCGTCTTTCAAGTGTTAGGAAGACTGAAACACAGCTATGGCCTTAACCAAATCAAAGCTGCATTTTCGGCACCTTCTCTCTCCTATCTGTCCCCATATTCTCAAACCGTACTCTTTCTCTTCAGCTTCAGAACTACATCTCCAAGAGGACGACACCCCAGATGATAATTCCCAAACTGCCCCTATCCCCAAGTTATCTGCCGAAGAAACCCTAATCGCCGACAAATTCCACGCCCTAATTAAAGACCACCACCGCAATAACCCTAATCCAAATCCTAACCCCACTCCCCCGAACCCTAGCTTCACAATCCCAGCTCTCTCGCACGACTTCTCTCAAATCTCCGCCGCCCATTCCATATCTCCGTCTATCGTCCGCCGCGTCCTTGATAAGTGCGGCTCTGTCCGCCATGGCATCCCCCTGGTCCAAGCCGTTGCTTTCTTTAACTGGGCCACGGCCCGCGACGGGTTTGATCACAAGTCGGAGCCATACAACGAAATGGTCGACCTCGCTGGCAAGGTCAGGCAGTTCGATTTGGCTTGGCACGTGATCGACTTGATGAAAGCTCGGAATGTGGAAATTACGGTGGAGACTTTCTCGATTCTTGTTAGGCGCTACGTGAGGGCCGGATTGGCTGCGGAGGCGGTGCTCGCCTTTAATCGTATGGAAGACTATGGATGTAAGCCTGATAAGATTGCTTTCTCAATTGTGATTGGTATTCTTTGTAAGAAGAGGAGGGCCAGTGAAGCGCAGTCGTTTTTTGATAGTTTGAAGCATAAGTTTGAGCCTGATGTTATTTTGTACACTAGCTTGGTTCATGGTTGGTGTCGAGCTGGTAATATAGCGGAGGCGGAGAGGATATTTCGGGACATGAGGACGGCGGGGATCAATCCCAATGTGTATACTTACAGCATTGTGATCGATGCTTTGTGTAGGTGTGGCCAAATTACGCGTGCGCATGATGTTTTTGCGGAGATGATCGATGACGGATGCCAACCGAATTCGGTTACTTTCAATAATCTAATGCGGGTTCATGCTAAGGCTGGCCGGACCGAAAAGGTGCAGCAAGTTTACAATCAGATGCAGAGGCTGGGGTGCAATGCGGACGTCATTACTTATAATTTTCTCATTGAGTGTCATTGCAAGGATCATAATCTTGCGGATGCGCTTAAGGTGTTTGATTCGATGGTTAAGAAAGGCTTCAGCCCAAATGCATCGACTTTCAATCCCATATTTAGATGCATTGCAAAATTGAAGGACGTGAATGGCGCTCACAGATTGTATGCTAGGGTGAAGGAGTTGAAATGCGAATTGAACACGGTGACCTACAATATATTGATGCAGATGTTTGTGGTGTCGAAATCGACTCATATGGTACTCAAGATGAAGATGGAAATGGAGGAGAATGAAGTTGAGCCGAATGTGAACACGTACAATATTTTGATCTCCATGTATTGTGCAATGGGGCACTGGAACAAGGCCTACTCGTTTTTCAGGGAGATGATTGAGGAGAAATGCTTAAAACCAAGTCTGCAGGTTTATGAGACAGTCCTCAAGCAGTTGAGGGAGGCAGGGCAGTTGAAGAAGCATGAGGAATTGGTGGAAAAGATGGTTGATAGGGGCTTTGTTACTCGACCATTGGCATTGTAGTCTGTACAAGTAGCTTAGCATCTTCGTTGCTTTCATTAGATCAGTTGATAGATTAGGCGATCGTGCAATGCAGTCTTCCTGTTTTTTTGAATTTATGGTGTCGAGTTTGGTAATATGCTAGTATGCTAGTGTATGCTTGGGAGTTGGGATGACAATTTTGACGATTTCTTACCGAAAATTGTAACATATCTGAGCTTCCTGTAATCTTTTTGTTTATTGTATGATATTGTCAAAATTTTCCATGAGTTCTTTCAATCTATTCATAGACTTATGAACTTTTCCCCACATTGTTCGACGCTGATTATGACAACCACTGATAATGAGAAATATTCACGGTTAATCAATCTCAAAAATTCACTGGCCCATGCTCAGTTTTTTGACAAAGTCAAGTGAGGGTGTGCAAACACAAAATGGGCAATGTAGTAACATTCAGAAACTCAACAAATTAAGAAATACAATGCAGAGTTTTTCATTTTCCCCTATTCAGGATGACCTTGCATGTCAAGCATCTCGTCTAGACGTTTTAATCTCTCCAATCCTTCACTAAGAAAAAAACGAATCCTTTGCCTGTCATTGCAGTGCCGGTTATTCTCCAGTTCTTGTCTAATCGTTGATCTTAGTTCACCTGTAAACATCAACTGCGTTTCCATCAAAATCTCAAAAGAGCACACAGAACCTGCCTGAGAACTATCAACAAAAGAATATTTGATGTTCTAAGAAGCACATCATTGATCTCTGTGTGTGTGAGTGATTATAAGTTTCAGATGAAGGATAGTGTCAATTCATGTGCAAGTGTATGTAACAATAGCAATATAGACGAAAGATGCATTGTGCAAATGCAAAATACTACTACTTACGAAAGATGCATTGCGGGACACACAGAAAGTCATTTGTTAAATGTTTGTTACTGGGGGAAGTGATAAGCATCGGTTGGTTTCTAAGGTGGTGGTGATGATGATGGGCAAGGAAGAATAGTTTATATGATGTACAAGTTGTATCTGTTTGCTGAATAACAGGTTGTTTGAAGCAAGTAAAAAATTACCTCTAGCATCAACAGGGGCTCTTCGTGTAATCCTCAGTGCTTGCCTATACAGCTTCAACACTCGAGCACGGAGAAGGAAGTCCT